GTGTATTTTTGTCAGGTCTACTTACCAGTATGAGGTTAGCTCAAGCATCACCCCGTTTACTATTTTTAGGTGTTTTGTTTGTTTCCATCACACTCTGAGACATAAACATTCATTCTTTACTTTTTCAATTTTCATGTTCCATTGTAGGATTCTGTTTGAATGTGGCAAAAAGTGGCAATGGCGGAAGGGAAATCAATAGAAAATTTTGCCTATTTGGCAATAGGCAGAACCCTCAAATCACCCCTTTAAAAATATGGGTATGGACGGATCCACCCTAAAAAAAAAAAAAGCAGGGACATTTGGTCCCCTAAAAGTATCGATTGACCCAAATCGGTCATTATTTAACAAATGATGTCATCACCGTTACGATCTTCGTTTAGCCTATGCCAGTGTGTCTTTTTTTTACACGCTGAATGCTGATTTGTACCAATCCTGCTCTTTTTACACACCGTATCACCCTTTATTCCCCTTTCCTTGTCATGAACCCCATTTAGCCTTGAAAAAAGAAGAAGGAAAACCTTCGTCTTTGCTCTGATTTGTAGTGAAAAATTGAAGACTCATTTCTCAAAAAAATCTTTGAATCAAATTCACTTTTGAGTACGAGATGAGAGTCGGCTCAACTCTTTTCTGGCAAATCTCGAGAAAATACTGAAGCTTTAAGGGGATCTCATAATCGATCCCGACATTTTTTAAAAAAAACAGTTGTCTCCATCCCTCATGTTAGAAAACGAATCACACACACTCATTAAACTTGACTAATTCAGCATTACAACTACGCGCTTTCCCTAAAATTCTCACTCACGCAATTCCTCTCATCTCATTTTGACCGTCGATTTTCTCTTCTTTTTGGCTTAGGGCAAGCCTTTGCAAGGGGAGACGGAGAAAAATGATTGACGAGTGTTTGGGACCTCAGAGATCTAGAAAGGTCCAGAGAGCTCTCCGTCATTTGAAGGTCATGATCCTGTGTCTTGTCCTCACCGTCGTCGTCCTCCGCGGCACCATTGGCACTGGCAAGTTCGGTACCCCAAATCAAGACTTGAACGAGATCCGTGACCATTTTAACTTTCGCAGGCGCACCGAGCTACATCGCATTCTTGAGGAGGTGCAGACGACGTCGAAGGCAGAGGAGTAGGCAAAGTCCGATGCCAACGTCGACAGTAATAACTACAATGCATTTGATATCAACAAGATATTGATTGATGAAGAGGAGGGTGATTCGAAACCCAACCCGAACAAACCCTACTCTCTCGAACCCAAAATCTCAGATTGGGACAAGCAGTGAGCGAAATGGCTCAAGGAGAACCCTGCTTACTCGAATTTTATCGGTCCGAACAAACCATGGGTACTGTTGGTCACTGGGTCATCCCTGAAACCATGTGAGAACCCTGTTGGTGACCATTACCTTTTGAAATCTATCAAGAACAAGATCAATTGCTGCAGGTTACATGGGATCGATTTTTCACTGCAAATCAGAGCGAAGATAGAGGTTTTCCTTCTTCCTTTTTTAGAGTTAAATGGGGTCCATAACAAAGAAAGGTGAATAAAAGGTGACACGGTGTGTGAAAAGAGCAGGATTGGTACAAATCAGTATCCAGCGTGTTAAAAAACGACAGTTAGCACTAGCTAAACAAAGATTGTGATGGTGATGATGTCATCTGTTAAATAACGATCAATTTGGGTCAATCGATACTTTTAGGGGGCCAAATGTCCCTGCTTTTTTTTGGAGGGTTGATCTGTCCCTACTCATATATTTAAAGGGGTGATTTGAGGGTTCTACCTTTGGCAATAAGCTGAAAAATTGCAGTAAACACTGTGATGAAAGTTTTTAACGGCTAGCAAAACTGCGTGAAGTATGTTTTTGACGGTTAGCAAAAACTGCATGATGTCTGAAACATTAGTCTTTGGATTCTTACCTAAACCATAATCCCAGTAGATGATGGCAGCTACCGGTGCCGGAGATTCACTCACTGAAAATCCCATAACCTATGACAGATTCCAAGAGCTCAAGGCCTTTGACGAATCAAAAGCCGGGGTCAAGGGCCTCGTTGATGACGGAATCACCAACATTCCCCTGATTTTCCGCCGGCCGATGGAGGAGATCGCCTACGGCGATTGGAATTCCGCTGAACTGACTCAAACCCAGTTAATAACTCTGGTCGTTGATCTTGGAGACATCGAACAGAAGCATGATAACGTGGTCGCAAGGGTGAGACAAGCAGCAGAGGAAGTGGGGTTTTTCCAGGTGATGAACCAAGGGGTTCCGTTCAAGGTTTTGGAGGAGATGTTGGCGGCGGCACGTGGTTTCCATGAGCTGCCGAGGGAGGTGAAGGAGGGGTATTACACGAGGGGATTGACGTGGAAGGTGAAGTTTGGGAGTAATTTCGATCTGTACCAGTCCAAGTATGCTAATTGGAGGGACATTTTGTTCTGTGTTATGGGACCTGAGCCTCTT